TGGGAACCCCATAAGATTGAGCCCCTAATATAGTCCATGGCCTATTGTGACCTATTTAGAAAACATCTAGAAAGGTTACATAAATATATTGTCTCAAATTAGTATATAATTAGAAGTTATAATCCCTGTTTCATGATGATATCTTTGAGTTTTAACATATCTTTAATTTAAACTACAAGTTTCCCTCACCAACCGCAGGGGTTAGGTTCCTGAAAGTTCCCGTGGTTGGCACAACCGTGGTTGGTAAGACAAAAGGCTTATGGGAAAAATGGGGCTAGGGACTTGAATATGAATAATAAAGGAATATACAGTGTATTAAAATCATTTTTACCTTTAATAGGTTAAAAAAGGTTCCCTGTTGAGTAGTGGGTCTTTTAAAGAAACTAATGATGGACAGCTGCTTCATTTTCTTTTGAAGATCTTTCTGGACCTCCTTGTATGGTTTCATGATGTCTCCCAGCCCTTGCTTAAACTTTAAACTTGGAGGCCATGATTAAGGGCAAAATGCAAAAATCAAAAAGAAATCAGAAGAAAAATGCAGAGCACCTGCAACTGGATGTTAACAGCGTAAAGCACAACACGAGACTGAGTGTGAGTGAGGAGATGGAAGCGCCATGGGTGGCTAGCAAGAGTGTGGGTGATTTGAAATGGTAGGTGGTGGGCTGATGCGTGCCCATGGAAAACGGTGTTTATTCAAAACTGTATACCGTGATAGCCAATATTAAGTGTGGATACTCAGAATCATGGTTGGCAAAATTGCAGTTGGCAAGGGAAACCTGTATCTTTATACAAGTTTATCTTAACAAAAAAATTCAAAAAATACAATTAAATACAAAAATCTGATTTTTTTTTTAATCATTCATTTTTATCCACCCTGAAAAAATCTAAATCTTGAAACTAAAGAGTAACTAACAATTCTTACCTTTCCTACATAGCTACAGTCTCTGCATGGACTGCAAACATGGCTACAGAGATTTTATTCCATAACAGAGCTGAGAACTACACTCACAATGGAGCTCAAGATATCACATCCCTTCTACCTTTGTTGGCCATTTCTAAGGCTAACAGAAGGCTAGGAAGGAACAGCTGGCAGCCAAGGGTCTAGAAAAAACATGGCTCTTCGTTCTGACTGCTATAGGTGGAGATGAGCTGGTAGCAATATTCTTCCTGTAGCCCCTCTACCTGTCTTGTAACAGGATACCTAGCTGTTTAGGCAACTTGTCTCTCTCACTACACTGGGAGCTGCAGTGCTATCCCAGCCTCCTTCAGCTGATGTTCCAGATGGACCCGAGCAGCCCCCTGACATGCCATATATAGTTGTCACAACCCAAAGTTGTGGATTTTTTAATTGTGTGTGCTTCGGCACCGCTAAATTATGTTCCCGCCGAATTGGAGCTCTTTTGCACGACGGAGTGTTCTGTTGTTATGGAGAACCCGCGTGCAGAAAAGTGTTTCCCGCC